ATATATATATATATATATATATATATATACACATATATATATACATACACACATATACATACACTTTAGAAATATTCCAGAAATAAGTTTTTATTCATATTTCGATTACTAAATATTTCCATTTAAAAATGTTTCTAGCAACAACTGAATGCTCTTCAAAGAATTTTCTTCAATTCTTCATTATTATCATTTTTGAAAATTTCAGTTATGTGCAATTTATTTCCAGTATTTTACATGTTGGCTTATTTGTATATCAAATTTTTATGTAAATTTCCCCATTTTAAATAATTATGATTTTCTACATAATTTTTTATATGTGCAATTTCAGGCCCCATTGGAATGAGCTGGACTCTGGCCTAATGGGCGTTCCTGATGCTCATTAATTTTTACTTTTTCTCAAATTATTTTTTATATTATTTGTGAATGTTGAGCATCAAATAAATTCATTTATTCATTCATGCAATCAACCAATTAATCAACATCATCACCATCATTATCATGTTCTTCAACATCATCACCATCACTATCATGTTCTTCAACATCATCACCATCACTATCATGTTCTTCAACATCATCACCATCACTATCATGTTCTTCAACATCATCACCATCAAGAAGATTAGTATTGTTACTAACTACTACCGTATATGCTCAAAGTGGCAATGACAAAAATACTCAGATTTGAAAAAAACACTGATGACATACAGGACTTAAAAATTAAAACTGAAAATGTTTAATCATCAATACAAACATGTTTTCTTTGCCACTGCAAGATTATCACATTCATGACTCATTTCCAGCAATGTTCTTTTTTCTCCCTTCTTCCTTTCATTTGGTAATAGCTCTCCTGAATGGTTATCAAAGTCAAAATGAAGTTTCTCAGAAGCAATTTCTTGACTCGATTTTAAGTAAAGATGCATTTCGTCCTCTGGAAGGTCATGCTCAGTTAGTTCCTGAGAATCTGAGACGTTCTTTGGATCATCCTCCATATTCAACATTACATCCTCATTCTTTGCGTCATCATCATCATCCTTGATTTCAAACTGGGAGAAAAGTGTCAACTTGTATTTCATGATGTCATTAACATAACAACCCACTCGATCAGGAATTAAAGTGTCAGGAAGAACCCATGGAATATTAGAAGAAAGTTTGATAAGAACTTCCTCAATTTCTTTCACTCTTTTTGACCAAGTGCGCTGGAACTTTCTTGAAACCATTTGTGAGAAGTGCTTTTTCTTCTTGTTGAAGTTTTCCGGAATTGCTTTCCAGGCTATGTATGTGGCCGCCAAGACCAACCATTTGCGATTTCGTCCGGTTGCCAACCATGCCTCTTCAGATAAACAGAGAATTTTTGCCACTTGTTCTTCCAATTGAAGTTTTTCTAGTCCATGTTCCCAAAGGCAGATTGGAATAAAATCTTCTAATCTCATAAATTCTATCGTCATACCAAAAGACTTTACTAGTTCTTTAAATGCTGATGACAGCTTATCACGAGAAACACTACTAATATAAACGACGAAATCAAGAGTCACGGGCCAGTTGGAGCAGCGACAAGTTAAATAAACGCAAGCTGCACAGAGCGCATACTTCATTTCACGATGCCTTCCATGATATTGCTCCATATCACATGCCTTAAAAATATAATTTAAGGCCTGTTTCTCCATGTCATAATTAAACTTAAACTGTTTACACAGATTTTTTACAACTTCTCCCCATTTCAGCTTAGATTTGGAAAATCTGTAATCTGCACAACCTACTTTCCTTTTATGAGCAAGTGCAATCATATTGTTACTAACCCCAAATATGGGGTTAAAGTCTTTGATTTCTTCACTTAAGTCATTTTCATCAATAACTGTTCCACATCCAGTGCAAATTAAAGTATTGTGTCCATTAATGTTTTCATCTTGTAAGTCACCAGATAAGCACTCTGGGCAAGTCTTTGACATTGTGATGACAGCCTGGAATCCTTACTACCAAAAAAGTTTAAACAAATAATTTGTTAAGTGATCGCTTGCAGTACTTTTTAAACTCATGATTTAGTATTATAAAGAAGAAATACTTTTAGTTTGAAACCCTTTAAAAAACGTAAATTTTGTTAAAACATAAAAGTTTAAATACCAGTATATTAATATTTAATATATGTAGATTGAAGTCAATTCTTAGGCAAATCATTGTTATATCTTTGCTGGGACCAAGGTTGAAGATGATCTAAGCACACAATATGATCAAAGTGAGAAACCCAGAGCAAAAATACACAAATGTAATTTAGATGAAAAAAAACAAAAACAAAAAACAGAACAAACTCAAACGTGTATATGCTATACCGGTAAAAGCCAAAAAGACAATATTTTTTCTATTATCAGGCTAGGTTTAAATGCTAGGCCCTGGCCCTGGCCTAGGTGACCTGTTTAGAAATAATTATTAATGATTGGATAATGAAAAGTCGTCACATATATTTTTTAATGCAATTCTTTAATCTGAGAGAGAGCACATAATATTACCACGATAAAGCAATGAAATTAGCATATGCCTGGCCTATTGAAGGCCTCATACAATTTTACGTAAGCCAGGCCAAGATACTCAACTCTAGGCCTATCTATAATACTAAATACTCCATGCAGCCAAGAAATCGCGGCAACGTTCCGTCAACGTCGCTGTGTTGTCTTTGTGGTGTGTGTCTAGTCATCACTCCTGTAGTAGGCGGCAGGTCTACAATACTTGGCCTACTAGACTAGACTACTACTACTAGGCCTAGTAGTAGTAGTAGTAGTAGTAGTACTAGACACTGGACCTCTATAGTAACAAACCAATGCAAAATTAACATGTAGTAAACATTATTACCTTCAATTCTCAAAAGTCTACTCAAAATGTCCAACCAGGTCTAGCCTAGGCCTAGCCAAACTACTGTCCAGCAACAACGCAAAAAACACTCATTATCAGTATTCAAGTGGGGTTTTCCCGTATCAGAGGTTACATTAGATACTACGTATCTACTCGAGTCATGCGCACAACAGTTAAATCGATAGAGACATTTGACCTCTCCCTATGACGTAATCGACTGAGGTTGCGACAGCAGTACCAACAACGGTGGAGGATATTTCGGTTTCGGTCTCTTCGTATTATTCACTTGTCAATTTCGAAGGTCATGTGTAGTGAACGATCGTCACATGTTGTCTTATCACCTCAACGTTAACGACTACTTTCATTTACTTCAAATCATAGCAGACTTTAGCATGTAAGTAACTGATTTCAAATGATTTTCGTACTGATTAACCGCACCCCTATTCTGACACAAGGAGTGCTTGCTAGGCAAAAACAGCTGATGATGGCCGTAGTCAAGTACAGTGAATGGGGCTAGTTAGTCCCAGGCCTAATCTACGTGTGATGGTTCCTTTTTGGCCTATTTATTATCAGTCCCGAACGTTTTGTAGGTAGAGTAGTAGTAGTAGTAGTGTAGTAGTAGTAGGCCTAGTAGTAGACTGGATGTATGGATCATTTTGTATTCCAATTCCATGTAATTTTAAGTCAATTGAATATTGTAATTATGCTAATTATTCAATAATGCCTTAATTTAATTATTTAATAAAGTAAATTACTGATTTTATTATTTATTTATACTGTATCGTATATTTTGTGTTGTTTTTTAGTTAATTTACTGTAATAATAAAAAAAGAGCCTTGTGAACAAGCATTATAAATACACTTACAATATATTTTTCCTTTTTAATTTTAGTGATATGAGTACCAGACTTGTTTACAGAAATCTGTAAGAGTATACTATCAATGATTGACACACATGGTAGCCAGGTTTATATGAAGTAATATCACCAACAATAGAATATAACTGGAATTATTAAGTACTACTAGTTGACAGGAAATTAGTATGAGCGGAAGTCGAGTGGACCTTAAAGTTGTCCTTTTGGGAAAGGAGTATGGTGGAAAGACCAGTTTAGTTGAACGATATCTTCATGATCGTTTCCATGGTGATGTCCCCTATCAAAACGTAAGTAATCTCTGATGATGAGCTGCCATGGTTACAGTAATATGGAGTCCATATAAATTACTAATATGTCTGTTGAAAATATTTTCAAACATCTTGGAACATATTGATTAGCATAAATGACTGATATTCCTCAGAAACTTCAAAAACGTACAGTACTCGCTTTATATTAAATGTTCCTAGGGGTTTTTTTTAATGGCAGTATAGAAATATTTATGTTTATAAATTCCTAACTTCTTATTTATAGGCCTAACAGTGTGCCAAACACTATTGTTTATTGTACCCAATGTAGTTTATTGGTGTTTTTTTTTTTATTACTTTTCTTTTTTGACTGAATAAGGAAATAATTGAAAGGATGAATGAATGAAAATGTTATAATTTAGTTCTCAGTTTTTAAATTACTAAAAAACTAACAAATAATAACCAACATAAGCTGTTTCCCTTCCTCAACAACACCTCTTTCTAAAGAGTGTCCCCACCCCTTTGAACAGTGCACTTCCCTTCATAAAAGTGCTTTCCCCTTTCTAAACAGTTTCCTCCCTTTAGAAAAACTTCGCACGTTCCTGAACAACTAACAGTGCCCTCAGACCCCTAAAAAAAACCTCAAAAAGACACAGAATCAGTAATTACTGGTACTGTAAAGTACACAGTAACTCAGTTCACTTACTTTCATATTTTAGACCATTGGTGCAGCATTTGGAGCAAAAAAAGTTGATGTTGGAGATCGAACAGTTACCATGGGAATCTGGGTATGAATATTTAAGATACAATTTTGTTCAACAGTTATCCAAGGAACCTGAGTTTATTGCTCGTGATTATATTTACAATAAACATTGAATTATGTTTCCTTATTATAATACAACTGTCATAACAAAATAATAATTAGATTATTTATCCAGTCAAACAAAAAAACCCATTAAAATATGTTTCCTAGGAATTCATGCTCTAGTACACAGAATTGTGAGGAGTTAAAAAATTGAAGAATCACATACTTTGTGTTAGGTTATTAGCTTTAAAATAATATTTAAAAAAGAGAAACAATATTATTCAATTGTTCTCATAGTCCCTTTTAGTCGGCTGTTAATTAAAGGTTTTTGTTGTAATTTGCAAAAGTAATTGGTTTCGATCTGTACATAAATCAAATATAATTAAGCTATTTAATGTTTTGCTTGCATTTTTGTGCATTTGTCACATGTTGTGACAGATGGTATATCAGTATTATGGTAATGTGGTAATTAACCTCTGCTTGATATTAATGAAGTTTACATTCATAACACACAGCTTTATGGTAATAGAAAGCAAAACAAGATTGCATACTGTCTGAGAAACTTTTTGCTTTGATCCAAAATACATAATTAATCAAATGTTAAAATATTAATGAAACAGCATTATTATTACAAATTAATGTACATTGAATACAATTGTAATTGTGAATTGATTTTGGACAGGACACTGCCGGATCGGAGAGGTACGAGGCTATGAGTAGGATTTACTACAGAGGAGCCAAAGCTGCCATTTTATGTTACGGTAAGTCCATAGTCAGAAATGAGCTAATAATAGAATGTCAAAGGTTGTTTACTTTACCTGGTAAATGTAAACTATTATGTCTACAGTACAAATATTTAACTTGGTATTCCAAAAACTTCACCTGGTATACAAAAAAGTAAATTCTAGTGATTATTAGAAGAACACCTGATGAAACTAACACAGAATGCTGGCAACATCTTGTGTAATAAATAAATGAAGTTAGTCCATAAAGTGCTACCAGTGTTTTGATTAGAAGGGAAAGGAGCTGTATTACTTAATTTCTGGTTGAATTAAAATTGTATAAGTATAATAAATATCATATAATATAGGATAATTTCAGTAAAGTACAATTGCATACTGTTTACAGTAATTGATATTTTGATTAAGCTGTTATTGTAGCTATTAATTACCATTGTTAAGTAAAATTATTCATTATATTACTGTTGAGGTCGAGACTCTGATGATCTATGTTGGGATTGAATTGAATATTATAGTTTTCCAGACCGGTAGGTTTAGAATTACAAACGTTTATTGAGGACCTCGGTTTTGCATTGTGCCTGTAGACTTTTAAATATGCGTAGTTATAATATAAATTCAATATTATTACCATTGCTTCTGTGTCCTTTCTTCATGCCTTCATTAGCAGTATGTTTACTCTAAGCAATCCTAACTACTACTATGCTTATCATTTTATTTAACAGACCTAACTGAGGCTGCAAGCTTTGATAGGGTTAAATTCTGGGTTGATGAGCTTCTAAAGAATGAAGAGGTTTGTTTTAACAGTTCATGTACATATCTGAAAATTGCAAACCTTAAAACAATTATATATCACACTAAGAATCAAATATGGCTAAACACAGATTAAAAATTAACTTTAAATATAAAGGGAAGATTAAAAACTAGATAAAAATCCGCAAAACAGGTGAAAACTGTAATAAGATTGATCAAGTGAATACATTTTTTAAAAGTAACATCAATATGATAATGTTAGTTTAAAAGCAAAATTAAATATTAATTTAATCTGCAATTAATAGATTCTATGAAATCTCACAAAATATTTCAACAAAAAAAAAAGAAATTAAAGGAAGAGTTATGTATACTTAATTGGTGCTTGTGATTTTTTATTTCAGAAATGTAAAATTTATCTATGTGGTACCAAAGTAGATTTAGTTGAAGATGATAAAAAGAATAGAAAAGTTGATTACCATGAAACAACAGACTATGGCGATAGTAAGTAGAAACATTTGCTTTAACTTCTTTGCATTAACATAACATTTGTTATAACAATCAATTTATATAGAGCCTTGCACATAAAAGTCACAATTGGAAACTCAGTAAATGATGGCATTGCCAGCTCAAATGTAAAGAAAACCCCAATAAAATATGAGCTTGTTTTTTTTCACTGCATTATTTTATGCCACTTGAGGGTATAAATTATATTGCTCAGCAGACTGATATTCATCAAATCATCTAAACAAACGATTTATAATGTGGATTTAGCTAAACTATTTTGACCTTTGAATTCCTTCATTCAGATATGTGACTGAAGTCATATAACTTGCTATTTTCTTTTAATTTTAATGAATGCTCCTATTTTTCCTGCAGGTATAAAGGCAAAAGTGTTTGAGACTTCAAGTAAAACAGGAAGCAGTATAAGTAAGTCATTCATGCAGATTAGAAATTATCAACAGAACAGTGTAAAACATAGTAATAATCAAGCCCCACTCCTCACCCGCACCTTTATCCCAACAGTCTACCCCAGCCTCAATCAGCTAAGGCCTATTCAAAATATGAGCAGTATTAAAAAGCTCAATGATTGGCAAACTTCAATCACCAAATTGAGAAAATAGATTAAATATTTAATTCTTTTATATTATGTACTATTGCATTAAAGAATCTTTAATTTTAATTATGTGTTGTACCGCAAACATCAACATATGTGTTATAAATTTCAAGTAAACTTGTTTCTTTTTCAATGTAAATAAAATTGATTGTTTTCAAAATTACAGAAGAATTGTTTAGTTCAATAGCTAAAGATTTTGTTGAAGATCCAACGAATAGTGATGAAGGTAAGCTTTCTGGTTATACTGTATATTTATGTAGAAATTAAAGTGTATTGGTATTTAATGAGATGTTTCATCTGAAGAGTTAACAAAGGTGCAGTATCATGGTAGTGCTACCACCACAAAAATTATAAGTATTATCTATTGATAACCAGAAATACAGCAAGTCAAAAATACAATAACAAATTATGTTGGTATTTATATACCGTCTTTCACAGTAAGAAAGTATCCAATACACAAAATCGATCATGATAACTTAAACAATTGGAGGCCCGTTACCCTCCTACATGTAGATTATAAGATTGCTCCGCTAGTTTTGACAAAAAGATTAAAAAATGTTATTTAAAAAATTGTTAGTTAAGAAGGTTACATTGAGGGCCGCTTCAGTGGCAAGAATATAAGAATTATCGAGGATCTGATGGAATATATGGATACAAACCATCTGGAAGGAGCTATGATTAGCTTAGATTTTTCCAAAGCCTTTGACACTGTCAACAGAGATTTTCTTGTAAATACACTTACCTTTTTACAAAACCAAATTCCAAAGCAAACTGGATTTCAGAATATGTATGTTTGTTGAAGGCCATTCCACATGATTGGAAGTATACAATATTTTTAAGAAATGTAGACAGGCCTACAGTAGGTAAACGAAATAAGACTATCCCTGTACTAAGTTGGCGCAATGTGAATAGCAAACTGAGATACAATTGTTTTATAAAATATAAATGCACTGAGCCTTTAAAGTGCCAAACAAAGTGGCAAAACTATTTTAATGTAATAATTGACTGGAGATCAACCTGGGAGTGGAAGGTTAAATTAAGGAAAACAAGCTTAAACAACTGAATTTTAAAATTCTACATAACATCCTTCCAACAAGAAAAAGGTTATATTTATGGAAAATAGTTGAATTAAATTTATGCCTTAGGTGTTCAGGATGATGCTCATCTATTGTTTGAGTGTAGTGAATCAAAACAACTCTGGAATTATATTACCTTATGTAACTTAAATAAGTACGATACTAAAACAACCTTTCTCTATGTTGATTACCTTTTTTCTATTGGAATATTTTGTATATGCAAAGCTAATATTTTAAGAAATCTTAATAAGAATTTTGGCTCGATCAATATTCTTTTTAATGCAGAATGTAACAATAGAAGATATTTAAAATATCTTTCATGATGTTTTAATAAGTACTGTTATCTCTTTTAAAAAAGATGCTACAATCTAAAGGGTACACTAAAATGCCTGGAGTATTACGTACAAAAGAAACAGGAAAACAGGAAAAAAGATTGATGAATAAAAGTGGACACCCCTAAAAAGAGAAAAAAAAAAATACACGAAATCTTCTCCATTCCCTGGATAAATACTGGCAGACACACACAATCTCCTCCGCTTCCTAGATTTATAAATGGCAAATGCACAAATCTCTTTCACTCCCTGAGGTAGCTTTCCCTATCATAAATCAGTACATTAAAACTGACCAACATATTCGACATAGCAATAACCCTACTAAATCGTAACAACCACATTTTTCACTTTCATCCTGTTTCTGGTCCTTGTCTGGTTACAGTTGGCCAAGCATATTAGCCTATTCAATTACAGGTGACCAAGCATATCAGCCTATCCAACTTTGCAGCCATTATTCACTACTGCATTTGTTTTTTTGGTACCAACTACTGTAGGCCACAAAGTTGAACAAAAAATATTCAAAATATTAGAAGGCATTATTTGTGAAATGATTCAGAGTAGACTTAACAGTAAATCACAGAAGTCTGGTTTACATTACATAGCTTTTTGTTTAATAAGTTGTAAGACTTATGGAATTGACTGTTGACTCATGGGATGCATATCTCTCGCTTCAGGTTTCCAGAAAGTAATGTTTCATCAAAAGGTGTCAACTTCGGGCCACATGAGATAAAAATGTACACAAATTTGAATGTTTCATTTTAAAGGAACTTGAATGAATATAAACGATATGTATTATTCTATATAGTTATATATACAGTATATTCTTTTCAGAATCTTCACCAAAAACCCTTGATTTACAAGAGAACCGAACGAGGCAGAAAGGATGCTGTAGCTAAGGACCAAGCTTCGTCAACAGTGAACGTTTTGTTTTCAATATCTTTCTAAATAATCAGTCCAAGTGATGTGAACCATGGTGACATCACCTAATTATTGGATTTGATTGACATTAGCATACACAATACTGAAGACATGAATACTAGCTATATAGAAAGTGACAGATTTTAAAAAACATACTTATAAGAATTTAGGATTAAAGTGGTATGAAGGCAAATCCGAGCCTGCTTTTTATACTTCTATTCCTACTGAAAACATCCTGAATGGCCAAAACCTGATTGGTTGCAAGGCAGCACAGCCTTTATTTCAACATCTATAGACTCGCTGACCGTTCACCTGTACTCAACGCCTAATTTGTAATGGTACACCTCATTTCTTTGCTGTTGTTTGATCGTCAGCTCTACATTTGTTCTCTCTTTGTGGTCTTGCTTCAGAAACACCTTGTTTATTAATATGGATGTGTTGCTTTTTGTGAATGTTTGTTTTTTGCAACCAAAGAATTATTTTATTCAGAAATATATTACCAGCTGGATATAAGCAATTAATTTTGGAACTCTTTCACAGCACTGGAATTTGGAAGATTGCAGTGGGATATGTTAGCTTAATTCATCATCAGTATGACATAGAGTGTATTTTTATTTTAAGTATAATTAATACCAATTTTCCTGAAATGTTCTGTAATTAATAATCTCAATCGTGTACTAATAATAATGTGCTTTATATTAAAATATTGTATTGAAAATAATAATTAAATACTATTATTAATATTCTATTGATGACATATTACCTTTTGAATTCTATTTAGTATTATACTGTACATCTTTAAGTCAATTATGAGAATGTAAACTACAGTGAAAAGTGGCAGTGCCAGTGGTTACTTAACCTCCTCCCCCACCCCTTTAAAACCAGGCCCATATATATGCTATGACTCATAAAAAAGGGGAAAAATTATTTAAAAACAACTTATCCCCTCCCCACTCCCAAATCCTGGCACACCACTAAAAATGCATAGTGTGATTTAATTATTACAATTTACTGTCTGAAACAAGATAAAAAGAACAAAATGTTGGTTAAAATGTATGTTTTTCAAATGGACAATTATTGCTCCTATTTTACTCTTTCTTATATCCACCATAAAACACAAAGCTCTTGGTTAATTTTTCTACAGTAATTATATTTTTCTGTAATAATAATATTGGATGTAGCCTACAAACCCTGATGTCTCTAAAAAATGAATAAGCTAACCTTAAAATAAATATATTATTTTAAATACTGAAATTGGTAGACTCATAGCTTGTGGATACAAAGTGTAATGATATCTATCTTTGCATTATAATAATAGACATTTATAATGTCCACATAAGCGTACTCATTAGGCACTTTATGCAACAGGACGGGAAGGTGGGTGGACGGTGGTTCTGTGCTCATCAGAGCGTGATGACCACAGTAGATACTTGGGCGCTTAACCTGAATTGCTGTTGTCGATGGCTCCCTGTCCTTTATCGTAAAGTTCCTATTGTCCCAGTAGGGAAGGAAGACATCAGCCTCATGGTAATAAGTATACAGTAGAACTTCTATTAAGGGACCAAGAAAAGTTTCCCCTTAATAGGTGTGTCCCCTGAGTAGAGGTTGCACATACTGTAGTGTTAAAAGATACATTTCCCTCACTTCACGGTCCCCTTAATAGGGGTTTTACTGTATATGATGTGTTGTAGCGGGAAGGGGAACTGATTGCTGTGGCCAAATTAATCTCAGGATATGGTGGGTTGTAATTGTAGGGGTAAGATACAAACTATGTCAGTTAAAAGACAGTGCAATGTATTCATATTATAATGATGTTAGTAAACCTGCATTCATCCACTTATCTTGTCTGTTGTGTCAACATCCTCGGCTTTCTGCCCTGTGATTTGTAGTAGAAATTTTTTAGACACTGTCCATTAAATGTGACATAAATGAGACCTGCATAATTGAAAAGGAGCTAGTGCGTCATTTGTGACGCTCTGCCACCCCTCTTGAATTGAAATGTTTCATAAAATTGTAGCAAAGTATAATGTGAAACTTAAAATTGTTGTAATGGTAGAGTAGAGGGAAATAAATGAAAAGGTCTAGTTAATAGTTTATGTAGTCTATATTGCACTTGATAAACCAGATATTGAGTATGCTCGTTCAGGTATCTGTAAGGAATCGATTTAATGACTTATTGGCATGAGACTTGATATTTCATCATACATGTGGTTTTAGATTACTTTCAATTGAACCCAATACGCAAATAGGCTTTATCCTTAAATCATAAAACCGTCAAGTCAAGTAGAACATTTACATAACCCAGATAAATTGTCTCTTATTTCATTCTGTATCAAATGATGACTTTTTATTTCTATCCAAAAATTTCAATTCATTATTAATGACTGTTGTAGTGAAATTTGAAACAGAGATACAAATATTCATTTTTAATTTATTCAATAATATTTTACTACAAAAGTCATTGAATTGATTACAGTACATGCCAATGTAAGGATCTATACAAAACCATCAATGGTAAGAAAAATATAGAAACAATTCAAATATTGAAATTCCCAAGTGCAGGTCTTCCTCAAATTAAGACTACCTCCAATTAAAGACCACTTTTTTGTGTTCCCAAATTAACAACAATGTATTTTATCTTTATTCTAATTAGAGATCAAAGCTGTTAAGGACCCTCAAAATACTGGTCCCAAAAGTGCACTTTGATTAGAGGAAGACCTGTATACTGTAGCCTATAAATATATAAATACATTACTGACTACCTATAGTGCACTTGTATATATGTATAGGACTTTATTCGTTGAAAAGCTACAGGGTAGCCTATGATGTTCCATCATGTCCTTATTATCTAGATGTGTATAAGAGACAGGGCTAAACCATATGAACAAGGTCTTGCCTTACATTCTTAAAAGTGCTCTGTAATATGATCTTTCATGATAGTGTTAATGTGAATTTTGATTTCATTAATAAACTGATTTCAAAAACTTGACAATTGGCATTCATCCTTCCATGTTTGATAATGTCTACATGCTGAGCTCTCTTGCCTTGACTAGATTTAATACAGTATTAATTTCAGTGGGGGGTGCATAGTATGTCCTAAATTGTCTCAGAGCAGCTTAAAAATGGCCCAAAATTGCTGAGTTTCTCAGAGCGTTAGGGGTGTGGCCAGGAGAGCCAATTCCTGTGTTGGCTATTACTCAGACAAAAAAGGGTTGGGTCATAATATAATATAAGATGCTTCAGAGAGCTAAAAATAAGCCAAAATTGAATCTCTACCAGGGCTTCATCCTTGAATTCCACTGGCCTCTACCAAAATACTGTAGTACGACTGATCTGCTGTCATTTTAAAAAACTTCCATTCTTTAATTTGACATATGTTTGTTTTTTAAAAATATTAAAACACCATATGTTCTCAAATAATGCACATCAACCCAATTGAGTACTGCCTGCTGACTTGTATATGGCATTGTATGTTCTATTAATTGCACATATTTTATTACCCCTTCTTGAAATGGTTTTGAAATCAGATAGCAATAACGCAGGTTATAATAATGTTCGTTTTTTTTATGGATTTTTTACAATCCACTTCAAGACATTAGAACAATGCATATAGTCATTACACCAAATACAGGAAAGTATGGTGGCAACTATAGGGAAGCATTTGTCCCTACAGTGGCTGAAAAAGACATGATCATCTGTTAAATAACTACTGTTCTTATTAACTTTACATATTTTATTGCATTAAAATTGTATCTCACAAAATGATGTCATCATTTCAAGCTTACATTCATCCTCCTATGTCTGAAAACAAGCTGAGCTGTCCATCCTGAAATTGGCTATCATGCCACCTCAATTATAGCTACATTTGCCTGTAATGTATGCACAATATCACATGATTATGTGGCAATGTCGGAGTAAACAAAATGAAGGAAGTCAGTTGATGCACATGTACAATGTTTCACTTACAAATTTTCTAATGATAGGGCTCTGTCATGGCTGAGTGGTAGAGGGCAGGCTCTTCTAATAAGGATTGGCTGGGTGGTGGCAGGCTTTCACAAACAACAACAGTGTTCCATTCACCGCATACAACATCTACCACTTGTTTGTCTTCCAGCGCTGTGACAAGTGTTGGCCGGTCTATTGTCTTTGTATCACCATGCCCTAGTTGCCCATACTTGCCCCAGCCCCAGGTGTATAATTTACCATTCTCTAAGAGGTAAAAAAAAGCATATTACCGTAAAACAGTCTTCAAATACACTATCCTTTCAGAACGTCATTTAAAATTATGATTTCCTTAAAAAATACATTTGGGCATTTTTTTCTCATACAAACCTCTTATATGACTGTGAACAAAACTAATGAAATCAACACCATTATATCACCAATGTACTACTCTAGAGAATTTAAATTATTGCTAACCTAGGATATAGCTATATTGCTCATACTATAACAATTTGACAATAATATTGACATAAAAATGACAATAAAACTCACATTTATAAATGATTAAAAATATTTTAAAATTTATAAAAATATATAAATTGCAAAAAAAAATACTTGTAACCTTACCCAAAACAGCAGCTGTATGCCTTGATCCACAACTGATCTTTGATACACTGAAGTCATCTGGGAAGTCTAAGAGACTGGGTAGCATAGAAAACTGGATAGTAATGTCTTTACAGGTACTAACATCTGCTCCATCTTCGCAACAAGATGCTTCATTATCATCGGCCCTCTCCGTTTTCAAAGGTAATGGAAGTTCATAGCTTGATTTTATTCTATTAAGATCGATTGCATGCATTTCACGCTCTGGTTCCTTGCATTTAAACTTCATATCAATTTCTCTGCTCTCTGAAGAAAACTCCTCTTCTGCTTTTTGATCAAAATAAGGTTGATTTTGGTAACTATCTTTTTCGGTATTAAATTTCTCGTTTTCCGATGTGAATGTTGGCTTTGGTTTCATTGCAAATCCTATTTGTCCAGATTCATTCCAACCCCATATGTATACATCGCCTATGCCTGGGGACACCAAGCAGAATGTGATAGTTTACTATCTATATTTGACACTTTAGAAAATAGGTTTTTAACGACAAGCTTATCGTCATTCAATAGCATGAATGCCATGCTGTTCTAGTTTTGCTCAAGCGATCACACTTTTAAATTTTGTTCTTAGAAAATATTGATTTTTTTAAATACAAACAATGTGATAGCTTTATTTTGTTATACAGGCCTCCCTCAGACCACTTTTGGGATTGATGTTTCCATTTCAGACCACAGAAAAGTGGTATTTAAATGGAGTTGGTCTTTAAATGTAGGGGTCTTTAATTAGAGGGAGACTTCACTTGTATTTATTATATTTTTTTTAAATTATTATTTTTTTCTGCAATGACTAAATCATCATCATCATTAGTATTATCACCCTCCCCAACACATTATTAGTTACATTATTATCATCATCAATATCATAATAATAATAATGCTGCATTTATAGAGAACATATTACAATAAACTATGTGCTTTACATTATTACTCCCCGGTAACTGAATCAAACAGCTATAAAACATATCCTCAGCGCCCAGGGGAGAATGAGCATTTGTTATCATTGTAATCACCATCATCATGTATAAATCAACATCATTATCACATCACTATAAACATCTTAATCATCACAATTATTACAATCATCATAATCACCACCATCATAATCATCACTATGCTTCTCCACATCTTCACCAAATTCTACAGTACATCATCATCACCAGCATTATTATCACCATTTTCTCAACAATTTACTCAACGTACACCAGTGGAGGTGTTTTCTCATACCTCCCTGGCATGGAGGGCACTCACATGTTGGGCTGTCAGTTCAAGGGGTCAATCACACAGCTTTGTAAGATTATTTTTGTGCTGACAAATAAATCAATAACATTCAAAATAGCCTAATAAATGTTAACAAAAATGTTTCAACATCTTACCACTGAGGGCAGCAGAGTGCCAACCACCGCAACTTACAGCAGACACTGTAATGCCTTGAAGAGCTTCAACGACACGAGGTGATTTCTCCGAGTCTGGCTGCCCATGACCTAGCTGACCTCGGCTGTAAAGTAACCAATAAGCTCCATTCAATGATTTATAAGTTGGAATGATTGATACTTATACTGTAGTAATAATGCGGTATAAGGCCATAAGAGTCACAAAAACATAAATGATTTTTCTTTCCCTACTACAGACATCATAACTAAAGAAAATAAATAAGACAAAAACCTATAGCTATATAATAATACCACAATAAAAAAGAACTTCTCTTAAAAGTCCTCTAATATAAAATGCTGTATATCACATAAATTACCTGCCAATTCCATAGCTATAAACTTCACCAGATTCTGTCAGAAAAAGTACATGATCTTTTCCACAAGTCACATGACAAACTCTGCCCAATAAAATTGGCCGATATACATAGCTTGCCTCATTGTAGACTACTTCTCCACAACTTCCATCAGCTATGGATATAAATATTTTTAATTTTTTTAAAGACATATTTAACTTAAAACCAGAGTATATATTTGCATATTTTATTTTTATACAAATTTGTTAATTACCAGGAGTAAAATGGGAATGGAACCTTAAATGAAGTTAACATTTTTAACACACATATACTTTTAGGGATATTGGAGAAATTTTTCAAATATGGGCATACAGTATGAATACAAAATACCAATATGACTGTGTTTTGTATAAAATTATGAAATACAATTTTGAAATACAAAATTAATGCGAAAAGCGTACAATTGCTTTAAACCTGCGTTCAATCAGCTATGCCTATTGAAAATATCCTGAGCTATGTGATGTAATGCAACATACATAAATTTACAAATTGAAATGCATACACATAAAGTCTATAAAGTTAGCTTGGGCAAGCTGGTGGCACATTACACAGAATCCATTACAAGAACAATGACATTTAAGTACAGTAACTGCTGGTAAAGATAGTAATATGAAGACATACACAAACCACTAACAGTATGAATATCACTCTAGTGGCTGTTTGATATGCATTCAAGGAGAAGGGAAGAAAAAACCTACCCATCTGGCCCTGTTGAGTGCAAAACCCTGCACCCAGAAATACTGGCCAATTTTGGGACCTTTTAAAGCTGATTTGAGACATTTTAAAACATGGTATGCCTAATTTTGTGGGGGTGTAATTTGTCTGTGGCAAAGCCAATAGGGTGGGGCTTGGTCTGTCCAATGGGAGATTAGTCCCCCTTCCCCACTGGTACGGCCACTTCCATCAGCTAGCCTATGGTTGACTTTAACCTTTTGTTGCAATGATGTGTGTGTCTCCTACTCTGACAGTTTTGAATCTGCAACCTGTGACATCACTCGAGGACTCTACTCTTTCAATACTGCCATTTTTATTCACTACGAGGACTCCTGTTTTGGTAACAACAACAGCTGCAGCATTGCCACGAAAATCTACATCAGTGATCTTCTCTTTCTGGACCTCTTTGCTTGATCTTAAAAGGGAACATAAGCACGATTTTGAGCTGCAAATCACTTGATGATCTGTGAAACAATAATTAAAAATATACAAATAAAAATAATGATGACATTTCAAAGGCTGACATATAATTACTGTACATCCTGGATCTCAGAATGACATCCAGTAAATCATAATAAACCCCGATGTCACCACCTTCCATTGTCCACCTCAATTAAAACCCCTGTGTCATACCAATGTTTGTCAAATTCCATCCTAAAAAAAAGGATGCTTGCTGAAGTTGTAAATATAATTGAAATAACGAACCTTTAAGCAAGTGGATAGACCCCCATTGGATGATAACCTTAAAGTTACCATCACTGCATTGGTCAGCAAATATTGGAACTGGAGTGGAAATGCATCTTTTCTCTGTCGATATCAATTGCTCAAACGCATTGTAACCAAAACCAACCAACATATTCTAACAATAACATAGCACTATTCAGCTACTGTCTATCAGCATATAAATTGAGAATACGTCAGTAAGAATTCGCGAGAATGAGTAAGATTTAGTGTAAAAACTCTAAAAAAAAAGAACACTTGCTAATGAAGAACACGTTTGTTTACAAAGCTAATATTAAACTCTGACCTCCATAAAATAGTCTTGCCTAGCCAGTACATTTTAAGTTTAACGACTGGACTGTGTAGCCTGTAAAACAATCCAAGACGAGACAAAAATGGTGCTGGAAAGTACGATAGTGTGGTAAGTATGAATGATTAAATGTAATATTTGCCATTGTAATGATACCTTGTCAATGATTTATGGATTAGATCTTTTTCTCATTATATGTATAATATGTTTGGTAAAGGGGAAACGATGTACTACCGTAAGTTTAGTAGTTATTCGTAGTGGAGTTCCAGTGACTTGGCAGAAATTGAAGCTGCCGAGGGCCTAGGCCTCCTAGCCTGCTGTACTCTACGCGAAGCCAGATGCGTGTTTTTAACACGGCCCTTAGCCTACATGAGGGGGGGGGGGGGTAGCCCTAGCTAGAAACCTTACTCAAGGCTGGGATCTAAACCTTACTCAATGCTGGGATCTAGCTTAGCCTTATCCTACCTGTTAAAACACAGCTAATACTAACAACACTGTCTTAGCCTAGGCAAGTGTGTTTTAAGTTTTATACCTGAATAAAATAATTTTTAAAAATCACTTAAAAAATACGTAGGCCTAGTGCTAGTGGCTATGTGTCTACGCCGAATTATGCAAATCCCAAGACGCTGATTGGTCGACTTGGCCCTAACCTTAAAAGAGAACTAGCAAAATGATTTTTTGTTTTAGAGAGGATTTTTGATATGCCATTAATAATAGAATCAACCTTAAAATCGTTTTTTGGCCTTTTTTTAATGAAGTTATAGGCAATTATATACGATTTTACTATGACGTCACTGGCGAAAGAGTAACAAAAGATCGTGTAAATAGCGCCGCGTAGGGTATCCGCTGCGTACAATCTTTGCGTGTACGCTGTAACCATGGCTGTAAATTGTGATTGTTACAGCATGCACGCAATGATCGTACGCGGCGGATATCCTACGCGATGGATACCCTACGCGGCACTATTTACATGGTCTTTTGTTACTTTTTCGCCAGTGACGTCATGGTAAAATCTTATATAATCGCCTATAACTTCCTAAAAAATAGCCAAAAAATTATTTTAAGGTTGATTCTATTATTAATGGCATATCAAAAATCCACTCTAGAACAAAAAATCATTTTGCTAGTTCTCTTTTAAAACATAACTCTGCCTATCTTAATGCACTACAGCATGACGTAGTCGTCGTAAGATCGGCATAGATGCAGCCACTTTGTAAAAAATATGATCTAACAGCCTTGCTTGCATTAATAATAAATATTAATTAGGCCTAGGTGACTGGCCCTAGGCTAGGTGGTCTAGATTTTATTAAATAATTTTTTTTTCTAAAATTCTGTCTGTTCAGTGTTGACACAAGTGAATTCATGAGAAATGGTGATTTCCTACCAACAAGGATCCAGGCACAGCAAGATGCGGTCAACCTCGTCTGCTCCTCAAAAACTCGCTCAAATCCTGAAAATAATGTAGGCTTAATAACAATGGCAAAGTAAGTACTGTACTAATTAACATCTCAATATACAATATATAATCTGTGTATGTATGTATCTATCTGTGTTGTATGTTGTTGTCTAATGTGGAATCTATGATCTTGCTAGGCCAACTTTTTCATACTTATTTGTTTGATATTCAGTTTAATAAATTTATTTTTCTGTCTTTTTATATTAATGCAGTGTGAAAGTGCTAGTGACTTTGACTACAGATGTCGGTCGCATCCTTGCTACCCTCCACCAGATGCAACCATCAGGGAAGATGACCTTCCTGACTGGTGTAAAAGTTGCCCATGTAAGTCAAACCAGCCAAATTCAAAGTTAATCTACACTTACAATATGGTTTTTTTTAAATTTATTTATATATTTTTTTATTTTCTACATGTTTTTTCTGTGATTTTATTTTCTTTGATGTGTGAGTAATCAGTTAATAGTATATCTTTATATGTTTAGATGAATACTTTTTATGGATTAGGAAACAATTTAATGGCCAATAATGCAAATTAGTTCACCATTGCATAGTACTATAGAGAATATAATTGAAAAATTGCCTCTTCACAGCTTGCACTAAAACACAGACAGAGCAAGAACCATAGAATGAGGATCATCGTATTTGTAGGGAGCCCTCTAGAGTCTGATGAAAAGGATGTAAGTTTTGTGTCAGTGGGGTCAAATGATAACTTGACTCCATTAAAAAAAAATTTTTATAATGCATAAGTAAATAACAGTATTAACAATAAATGTTCAATGCTAAATTAATGCTAACATTTTTCAATTTCTTTTATAGATTGTCAAACTAGCAAAAAAATTGAAGAAGGAGAAAGTGAATGTTGATATTATAAACTTTGGAGAAGATGTGAGTAAACGATTCAAAGTCCATCCAAATATAATTAAAATCTAACATGGCTTGCACATCCCTAAAAAACTTATATTTCTAAATAATATTGTTTATTATTTTTCCAGAATGTTAATACTGAAAAGTTGACTGCATTTGTGAACACAATCAATGGAAAGGAAGGAACAGGGTATGTTTGATAAGTTTTGTTAAGCTCATTTGTTTTCCATCTTGCTTTTTGCATCTTTAATGCGTTATTGATATTATCATTTATTATTATAAATGTTATTGTTATCTTCAATTATGCTCACTTCATTTTTGTTTACTGCTATAAATAAACTGAACTAATGACACTAAAAGGCAAAAAATGAAGTGCAAAAATTCTCAGGGGTCGCCATCCACCACCGCTATGTCACAACTCAGATGCGTCATGTAAAGGGACCTGATTCACATCTGCTAAGTGCTCTGGTAAAAGCCAAATTGATTAATGCTATTTTATCTGTCTTCATTTAAATCCTTTTTAGGTCACATCTTGTAACCATACCCCCTGGCACAATGCTGTCAGAAGCCCTCAGACAGTCCCCCATTGTCATGGGTGAAGATGGGTCTGGGGCAATGCCATCCATTCCTGGGGGCTCTGGTGGCGATTTTGAATTTGGCTTTGACCCAGCATCTGATCCTGAGCTTGCTATGGTAAGTCACCAGCTTTAGTGTTATTGTACTTAATTTTTTTTAAATTTATGAACTATTAATTTTTCCTTATTTCTCTATGCTTCTGTAGATTTACATATTTTTTTTACACTTATTCTTGCTTCAGACAAACATTTTGAAATGCCAAGTAAAATTCAGATCTATTAAAAACCAAACAGAAAAACTTTTAAAATTACATAATAAAATACAAATGGATAAAATTAAAATAATGTTAGTATAGTGTTACTGCCTTTGGTATTTTGATTTTTTGTTTAATTCTTTTCTTTAATAAATTCACTATTCGGGTTTCTTTATGACAGGCGCTGCGAATTTCAATGGAAGAGCAAAGACAGCGACATGATGTTGAGACTGTCCAGCCAGGAGTGCAAGAGACAGAGACTGAGATGGAGACCAATATACTATCAGGTGCAATCCAAGTAGAAGCTGGTACGTTTACCAAATTACAGTCCTCCAAATACAACTTGCAAATTACTTTATGTGGCTTAGGGAGTAGAACTGTGTGTATAGCAATGAGGAATAACCCCCTCACCCTGCCGAGGCTTAGTTTATGTAATGTGTCATTGATTAACTGTACTTTGGCCTATGACTCATTAAAGCATACTCTGTTGGTTTTGATTGGGGTGGGCTATACTTGGGGGGAATATTAATTACAGTGGAGGGTAGGTAGCGTTTGTAACCCCAAGGAAAAGTGCTATAGAACTAACAAGTAACATGTATCTTGTAAAGGATTGCCATTTTATAATAATAATAATGGTCGACTTTTATAGCGCATATTGTACAGACTCTATGTACTTAACATTATTACCCCCGCAGTCATTGGATCAAGCATATAAGGAACACATACTCAGCTCCCTGGGGAGAATTCCATAATGTTGCAACGGTACTCGGTGAATTTTGTGTTTGAACCTACCAGGTACCCACTTGTGGTGGAGAGACCTCAAGTAGTGAAGCAGAACGCAACTGCTGCACCAAGCCGCTCGTTGTTATTCATTGTTAGAATATCCTTGGCCTTGAGCCTAAAAATGAAATAAATAAATGTGACTTCTTGAGTGTAATAACATGTGTGATGTTATATCTATTGTAGATTCAGAGGATGCATTGTTGGAGCAGGCCCTAGCTATGTCTAGAGACCAGCCTGTAAGTGCTGATACAATAGACACAGCAGATATCTCCCCCATGCCAGACTTAGGGGCAATGACAGAGGAAGAACAGATTGCCTATGCTATGCAGATGTCTTTACAAGCAAGCTCTCTTGGTACGTTTTCGATATTCTAATCTTTCTTGTTCAATACAAGCAAACTGTGAATAACAACAATGATTTAGGTAACTAATACCCATGATTTGAACCATTATTTTTCTCTGTCCAAATGTAATTATTCTAATTACAGTATTATAAATTTATAATAAAAACTGTTTTTTCTTCACAAACAGAATTAGCAGGCCTAGACTCTACAGAACCAAAAGAAACACCAATGGAGACAGACTCCACTGATGCCACACCATCAACAGTAAGTCAATGGCTGTTAAAGATGCACTTACTAAAATGCCTTCTACCTTCCTTTGATCTTCCGTCATTTGTGCTTGAAATGTAATCGTCCCAAGCTTTGCGTCCATTGGTTGACTGATCGTCCCAAAGTTGGATGTATGTATGTAACATTTTGCACTGGATACATACGGCAATGATTTGATTTGCACAGTACAGTTAAACTTGCCTAAGTCGATTTGGGCAAGTTTAGCTGTGTGTATGCATCTCAAGCCCTATTTATGCCTAAACATTAAACTTGTTGCTGAGTATGTGCTTGGTATTAATACCTTTTCAGTTGTTTTTGAGTATTTACATTATTTTTGTTTAATAATTAGATGGAGCCCGATTCAGAAGACCTCTCTGAAGTGATGTCTGACCCAGCTTTTCTTCAGAGTGTCCTGCAAAATCTACCTGGTGTTGATCCATCCAGCGAGGCCATCAGAAACGCAATGGGATCGTTGACCCAACAAGAAGATGTAAAAGATGATAAGAAAAAGGAGAAATAATGAAAATAGGGACATGTGAGACTGTTCATTGATGTGTCAAGATGCTTCAAAATCTTTCTAATATTCTATTAATTATACTTCTAAATAATTGTCAGCTGTTTGATGTAAACAACTGGAACCACTATAACAAAACTGATAGATATGTGGACATATTAGACAACAGGTACTTGGTTCTTTTTCAAAGCAGAGAATTAAAGATTTGATCAACAGGAATTGATTGGCTTTGCCTATGTGCACTTCACCAATGCTGTCATTATTGTTTCTGCAAATAAACTGTTTATATTTATCTCTCCCCTCTATTATGGATTCCCCTGCAACTATTAATACGCATAATACTCATTAGGGATTTTCCAAAACTACAGATCTTGAAGGCTTACTAATTGCAATTCATAATTTTATAACCTGCATTAGAATTGTCTTGAATAAAAAATCCTGAGGGACAATATTTATAGTCAAGAATGTTACAATAACACATTGTATACAGAATTGCCAGTACTGCACAGAAGAAAAGTTGTTGAAGAAATGTTTTGTTTGTTGAGGTATGGCACAGTAGGTCCGACATTTCTATACTACCTTCCACAATAAATTGTTTCAAGGCACTTTTAAACCACTAAATAAACTACAGTACTACACTATTATAAAATTATTGGATTAATATTTGTGAACACAAACGGGAGGAAGGTGCACACCACCAATGTTGGTATGTTGCATCCCGTAATTACTGTGGCCTGTGAAGGAGATATTTCTATCTGTCCTGTCCTAAAGCTAAGTTGTTATAAATACATCTGATATGCCCATATATGGAAAAAGAAAATTAGAATTACTATAAATTAAACTTCACATTAATTGCTTTTCCAACTGTGAAAGCACATAAAATGTTCCTATATTATTATGTAATAATATGACAATGTTCTAAAAACTCTATACCATAGTACTGTATATATGAATAAATTGTGTTTGCATGACATTTCTGACTACTGTTGTAGGCTTACAGTTAGTTGTAACATATTACCGAGTAAAGTCTTATTAATTACTTACAGAGACCAGGTTTTATAAAATCTGTAATAAAGTAGGCTTCCATCTGGAGCTAAGTATACTGCTTGTATTCCCATTTGAACTGGCCTTACTGGTACCTTTTGTGATTTGCGATCCTAGCATGCGATTGCATGTCATTGTACAACGACTTATTGGCACCCGTTACCCGGTTACAAGGTCACGTTAACATGATTGTTAAGCTGTTTCTATTGAGAACAAAAATCACTACAACACACAAAAAGTGACGATCCAACAAAATAGTCAATTTTAATAACGTCTGTAAGTACTTTTTGAGTATACAAATTTATACACATACTGTAATAGGGTGGATATTGGAAATTATATAATGTTGATAAAACACACAATTCATATTGCATAGATATACAATGTGATAGTCATCAATAAACCATTATTCAAGCACTTCCCAAAATAAAAAAAAATCGTTCTATAATTTCAATACTGATCAGAAATGAAAATTTGAATACATACAACTTAATAATGCAGATGATATTTACACATAAGAATCATTTTTTTTTTTTTTTTTTTTTGGAAAAAACAAACTACATTTCATTTATAACACATTCTTCAATCGCAACATAATGTCTGCAACATAATATAAATTCATTTTGTAAAAATTAAAGATTAACTATAAAACAAAAAGATATGTTACTGCAAGGAGATACAAGTTCTGCATATCTCAATGGTTACAAATGAAAATATATAAATATATACTGTATATTTTATATAAATTTGTCCCCAATGTTGGAATAATAAAGTTTATTACTAAAGTATCCTAATCACAATAAAACATTTTTAAGCCTGTTTAAACATTCTATGCCTGTTACTGGTACACTTTCAGGTCCCATACAGTACATAACCAGTATCAAATACATGCTCGTGGTAGACCATGCCCATTGGTTGCATTTGGTGCTTCCAGTGAGCCATGCCTACCAGATGCTCATGGTAGACCATGCACATTGGTTGCACCTGGTGCTTCCAGTGAGCCATGCCTACCAAATGCTCATGGTAGACCATGCCCATTGGTTGCACTTGGTGCTTCCAGTGGGCCATGCCTACCAAATGCTTATGGTAGACCCTGCCCATTGGTTGCACTTGGTGCTTCCATTGGGCCATGCCTACCAAATGCTCGTGGTAGACCATGCCCATTGGTTGCACTTGGTGCTTCCAGTAGGCCATGCCTACCTGTGATTATGATGTCAGATACTTATTTATCTTTGGGAACCTGTTTACGTTTGGGAATTTCAATGCAGATAGTGGAAGATTCTTAGTATTACTTGAAAAAAAATAAGAGTAATTATAAACCCCACAAACCAACATGGCACTGTATGGTGAAAACACCCCCTCCCCACAGCAACATGGTACAGTATAATAGATAAAATTCCTTCCCCTGTGCAACAGTGATCTTGTGCTTATATAAAACTCTAGAAAATGAAAATCAAATTAAGTTTTCTATATAAAATTCATTGTATACAATCATGGCTTATTTAGAAACTACTAATAGCTAAGTGAAAACCCCCTTCCCACAGCAACATGGCATTATATCAGATAAAATGCCTTCCCCTGAGCAACAGTGATCGCTCACAACACTCCCCTGAGAAATAGTGTTTTGTCAGAAAAACACCCCTCCACTGAGCAACATACTGTTATATATCAGAAACCCCTACTATTTTCTGGAGGGGCTATAGACCTGGTATAATAATCAGTATAAAAATCTAATATTTGTGAAGTATTATATAAAAGAAATTTAAATTTGTGTTTTATACATTATTGTCAATTTCCTATTTTATGTTTATAAGTGTTTTTTTTTTTTTTTTGCATAACCATTTCTTAAAGGAAGACAAGTATATTTGGTCATTTATTAAAGCACCAATTTCACACATTGATCAGGACCACCCCTGACCCCATTTGTATGAGGGTGGGACAAAAAGAGAATAGACAAAAAAAACTATTAAAAAAAACCAAAAAAAATGCAGAAACAATGTGTCAGTCAGATGTGCAATAGGGGCTACCCTAAGCTCCTCTCTATCATATTTTTTTTAAAGTTTCAAAGCATAGTTATTATTTTTGGAAGACAAACTTGCATATTTTAAACTTATTTGTATTAAATTACTCCATAAATAGTATAACTTTCAATAAGAGTATTAACAATTGGAAGAGGAGTCATCAGATAGGGCAAAATATTGTCTAAAGAGCGCCTTCTACAATTTGCTAGGATATCTTTTAATTCGATATTCAGCATTAGCCAAGCGTACCCTTTGACCTTATTGACATTTTGCTTATAAAACTTTACAAAAATAAATCATCAAATCAAGTTTTTAATGATATAAAATTCATTGTATCAATCATGGACTATTTGGACACTACTAAGAGCTAAATGATATGTTTTAAATCTTCATTAAATTAATTCTAAAAATACAAATGTGACTTTTTTGGAAGACATAACATTCTCCAGTGGATAAAATGTTTGGCAATGGCATTTGTATTATTTTGTTTAACTAGCCAATGTCTACCTCAAGAAAAATGATACAAAATAATTACTGTTCAAATGATTAGCTTTCAACAAAAATAAAAATCAGCACAAAATGAATTAAAATTTATAATGAAACAAAGTCTTTCTTTGAAAATTAATATATTCTTAATGAATATCTCTTGATAAATACTAATATTTTGAAATAAATTTAATTATTAATCATGCTAATTAGTATTTATCATGAATGTATTTTAATTGTTCTTATTTGCATGAAATTTATGAATCATCAAAATTACTGTATACTATATTTTGATTTAGTATATAGCCCCCTCTATGCTTGAACTTCTTATAAAAAGAGTTAAAAAAAAAAGATTTAATGCATATGTTTTTTTTCAAAAGTATCTACAATTTAATGGAATCGCAAAGGCCTGCATAGGAGAAATGCAATGCACATTCAGAGTGGGTGCATGTGATATAAACATGCATGTGATATAAACAAGTGCCCCATCAACATGCATCTGATCTAAGAATACAGAGTGCTAACTAGGTCAGAGGTCAACAAGCATTTACTGTATGCACTTTTTGCCTCCAAAATTGGCGCAACTTCTTGCAAGAGCACCACATTTCTAGGACTGGTTTGAGAAGCATCACAGTTGGATATTGTGCATTTGTTTGAAAGGAAATCTTGTGCACCCAAATGTTTTGAAATTTACCTGTATCGAAATTCAAATGCTTGCATTGAATTACGAACTGACTCTCATCTAGGCCTATTTGAACAGTGCCATTTGCGTGCTGAATTTGTGTAAAGCTTTTTGAAAAAGACCAAATAAACCAGAGCATTCTAGTATCCCTCTATAAAGACACCTTAAGCAATAAAAATATATCAACATGCATGAAGACACACCATAAGACACATCCTAAGAAATATGAATATACTATATGATAAATACAGAATTTTTCATTTCTAATCATTATGCTTTTTTTACATTATGAATGTTTTTGCATATTATTACATTCATTTTACTATACAAGTATCTAAAATATGATCAGAAATTACATTTAAACATTTTTTTTTGTTTTCTATAAATACCACAACATTATGTATTCACACAGATAGTATGTACATAAAATATACAATGGCTTGTTTTTGTGTTTTCCTTTCAATCAATATGAACTGGAATGCATTGTTAATTGGTTACAAAAATGAGTTGACAGATAATGGAAGACAATAGGCATATTAGTTTGCTGGTCTACGCTCTATAAACAGGACTGTGCTTTGCATCAGAAGATACCTTTGTTGGGGTGACAAGACCAGCACTTGTAAAGGGAGGTAGGAACATTCTTTGACGGATGTCAAATGGAATTGCGGCTGCCTGTTCACGGGGAACCTGCAGGAGCTGAGGACTCAACAAGGGTGCAGAAATAAACCTAGGTGACAGAATTGTTGGACAAGCTGCTGTTAGAAGAGGTGGTTTGATGTCCTGGAAGACAAGCTGGTTTTTCTGTGCACCTTCCAGAATTCCAGGAATAGGGTTGAATGTTATGCCAGGAACTTGTGGAAGCGTAAATCTGGAAGACTCAGCTTTGCTGCCTTTCAATGGTGATACCTGACTATTAGGAACTGCGAGTTTTTTTTTAGAGTCGATCACCCCTTGTGTTATTGAACCTCTTGTGTCAGGGGTCATTTTAACTTTAGACAAATGTGATGCATTTTTATGAAAGTATCTGTCACTTGATTTGCCATGCTTTGACCTGTTGCCACTTTCACGGTGACCCATTGCATGATGGGATAAATGATTTGTAGATTTTAAAAACTTTGTGTCCGCATTATGCGATACTTTTCGTTTTTTTGGTAGACTGAGGTCACAGGGCTCCTCTTGTTCTGGGGTACTGTACATAGAATTTGACACAGTCCCATTTTGTGTGTGTGTCTGTCGCTTCTTAGAAGTGTCAACTCTATGATTGAATTGTGGTGGCTTCATGTACGGAGCCTGAAGCAGCTGAGGGAAGTTGTTGCGCATAAGAGCAAATTGATTTGAAAGCATCATTTGTGGAAACCCAAGATTTGAAAAAAATGGTTGCACTAATCGTGGTGTAATAATGATGGTATCTTCAGGAGCAGTTGCTTGGACCTTAGTTGAATCTGTAACTTCCTTACTCTCTTTCTCAACCTTTCTTTGAGTGTCAGTCTTTTGCCTTAAAATCAGATCGCATGGTTGCACCATACCTGGTTTATTTGTTATTAAATCTCCTTCACTGCCATGGGTATGTTGGATTACAGAAGCCCGGGATGTAGTTGGCAGGCTCTGTAACTGTCCTGATGTGGCAGCCAGTGTGTTAGCTTTCTCTGCTTTTGGTTCCTCCTTAATTTGAGCAGGATGGAAAGTATTCACAAACTGAATACCTGGATTAGGAATGGTATGAACCGTGGCTGCCATTGGCTGCCCATCATGTTTAATGGTTGCAAATATCGAGGCTGGGTTCACACATTTCAGAATAGGGTAGGAAGCCGGTGGGAGAGTACTATTGGTCTTGTCAGTTGATGAGGCAGCAGCCAGGGCGAGTGCTGGATTGGTCGGATGATGCATACCAGCCTGAATTGGAGTTATTGCAAGCGGCTGGCCTTCACTTTTTATTTGCAAGACAGACACATCATTCTTAGGCATTGCTTCTCCACTTTGTAAAGCACCAAGTTGCTGAAATTGCAAAAGGAAAAAGGTTATTATGTTGAAAAATATATTAAAACTTCAAAAAAAGCAAAAAAAGTTTTTATTTATTATTTGTTTTATTGCAACTGTCAACTTGTAACTGCCACCTGCTGACTTGAACTGACAACTGTTAACTAGCCTACAGTCAAACCTACCTGGGCCTTTAATGACTCCAGTCGTTTTCTCTCCTCCATTTCCCTGACATGATCTTTCAACATTTTGGCTCTTGGTTTCTTTACCCTTTGCCTAGGCTTTTGAAGTAGCATTTTCATTGCTGGCTTCAGGCTCTGATCCTTGGTTTGCCCCTTACTCTGGTCTTTGTTCTGCTCCTTGCTCTGGGCCTGGCTGGCAACTACTGGTTGTGGTACATCCTTGTTATTACATGTAATTTTCTTTACCTTGGTTGCGGGTGGAGTGATCACCTTTTCTCCTTTGAGATGTTTTTCATAAGATAACAGGAGCCTAGATGTGTGTAAAATAAGCAAAGATCATTCAATGATTTTTTTTTTAAATAAACAAATTCACTATCAGGTTAAGCTACAGATTTTACTCAATTTGTGCAAATTACGAGATTTCTTTGACAACGAAAAGCTTTGCTAACAATAAAATTTGTTTAAAAACAATAAATTTTAGTTCTTTTACTATTAACAAATGTTTTACTTTTCGTAATGTCTTCGTGTACATGTGGCTGCACTCGTACTACCGGGGCTGCCCCCTAGCTGGTCGTAGATCTGCTTCCACTTTCTTTGATCGCACACAGCATCATAACCACCAACCTTCTTAACTTCATTGAAAAATAGGAACAAGTCGACTGGGGACAGATGCAAAATATTTGTGTAACAATGGACATATTAAAAAAGAAAATATCTTTATGATCAGTAAAAGAGTTACAATTACATATACAATACATAATGAGGGTTGAAGGAGAATACACAATTCCTTTGTATATATTATTTGCAATATAGAGTATTGCATTTTACTGTAATAGAATGTGGTTAACCACTTTAACGTTTATGATGATGTTCATTTATTTGATCAAAGAAAAAATCAAGAATATTTATTGATGAATTTGGGGCTTTTAAAATCTTTCCTGCATTTATTTATTAGATTTATGTGATTCTTCTAAAGTTCTGTGAATCTTGGTACTGGTACTGGTAGAGGCAATGCGCCTCTTCCTCGCGACTATAAAACGCAGTTCTTTTCCCTGGTCATTGGGTCCACATGCTAAGTGTTGCTGCTGGTAATCAGCGCAAAAGCAGGCAACCCCATTAGGTAACCATTTATACTCCTGGTTGGAAAGAAGCAATGCAGATAAAGTGTCTTGCTCAAGGACACAAGCCAAATGCACAGCGAGGGATTGAAACCCAGACCTCGAGGTTAGGAAACCAAACTGTTCCCGCTGCGCCAAACATGTCTTAATTGTATTCTCTTACTTTTCTTGAAGCCCAAGTGAGGTATCCTATCAATTGGTCTCTTCTCTACTTCCATAAACTGGTTGAGACTTTCAATAAACCTTGCTTCCTCGTTCACTTTGTTCAATCTTGGAGTTATCTTCACCTTCGGCCTTATTCGGCTCTCCTTTCCTTTCAGGAGAGATTTGTTTTTTTCCTAAAAATTAAACAGACAACTATCTGTAAACTTAAGTAGAAACTTTTCATCTTTATACTCTATTGTCTTTTATTGTACATGTACTGGGAGTCCCAACTGACCTTGACTCAAAAAATAATGTTGAAATATAAATAATAAATAAATATACAAGCCAGGTCAGACGAGGCAAATGCCCCTGGGTCCAAGCTGGCCCTAGGACCCACAGGCACTCTCGGCGGCCGTGTCTGAGAAAACCTAACATGCTACAGCTAGTAATAAGGAGCTTTCAATTGCACGACGATGTTAGGACGTAGCACGTAATGGACGTTACTAAAAGTCTTGTTAGGACGTAGCACGTAATGACGTCACTAAAAGTCTTCTGTGTACATGCGAGTCCTTATCGCATGGAATCTAGGACACAATTTGGCCAAATCCACGTATGCAGAGAACGTAGGATGCCCTGTACAAGAGTCACGCATGAGTGAATACGTTTTAGCGTTGTGTCGTCAAACCAATCAAAAGCTCCATAGTGATACATGTTGAGTGTGTCTACCTTTTCCACAAGTAAGATCTCTGCCTTATCATTGTCGTCATTTTCTTTACTGCTGCTGCTGCAATTACCCGCTGGTTCATAGTCTTCATCTACACTCGAGCCCTTCTGTAGACTTCGCTTTTTCCTCGGCCTACCTTTCAAATTTGGTGCTGCAGAAAATTTGGAGGGAGAAAACATCAAAAATATTACCACAGCCGATCAGAGGGCAGCACCAAGTCTAAACTGTTTTAACTTTCAAATTATTCTAAAACTGTTGCTCCACCCTTGTGTCTTTAGGATAGCCTTACCAAATACAAATTAAAATGAATATTTTTGTAGGCTGCTGAACAAATAATTTGAATAAATGTGTTAAATATTAATGATGCAAGGGAGATGTTATCAATATACTAAGGACAATAATTCAACGACATTTAAGTACAAGTATTGATTAACAACATAGAAAAAAGAGAACTGTAAAAAGTAAATTCTTACCTAATTCATCACAAATCTTATTATGATTGATCAAGCTAGGAATATCTGTTGTGTCTCGGCAGAATAGAAGCTTTGTATTTCGGTAAGGTGTCACGATGCCTCCCAGCACTGTCACGTAGGCATCAGTTAGCATCCTTTCTGGCATGTTCTCGATCCTCTTTAAAACTGCTTTGTAACGACAGTAGTTTGGGTAACTCACAATGTGTACTCTAGGCCTCTCTTGGATTTCTGGACTTTCTACAAAAAAAAAAAGAAAAACAATTTTTTTTCGACATCATTCAACTAAGTTTGATTCAATGAAAAATAACAAAGGATTTGATGAGGTTTAAGGGAGTGGAGATGCCTTTGGTTGAGCAACAAATATGACAATCTATTAGCATTGAACCATAGTACAGGAATTATAGTGCCACTGTGTCATGTTGTGAGGTGTGATTATTGAACCATCATCCCAATCAGGCCCTCTACTGATATTAATTCCTTTATAAGACCAGAAAAAATAACTATTGTTATTGAAGATGAGTTTTAGGGGGAACATATTCATTTGACAGATCAAGTTGTCAATTCAAAATTTCCAGTCACGTATTCAGCCAGTTTAATGGGTAAGTTGGCCGAAATAAATTGCCATTCTGAAACCTTCGAGCTATGAGTTAAAGGACGGCCCAAATCAGAAGTTTAAATATAAGGGTCATATTTATTTAATAATCTTTTATCAATGATAATAGTAAATATGATTATCAACAGGTGGCCATTAGCTATGAATTCTATTAGATTTTTACAATTAGATTAGAACAATTCATGCCAGAAAATTCAAGAGAAATAAGTTGTTTTTTGTTAAAATATCGATGTATTCACTCATTCTCTAAAGTAAAACAAAGTCTGCTATGGAGAGGTGTTTTGGGTGAAATCCAAAACAATATAAATATTTGAGATGATCCCTGTATTAGTGACACAGCTCTAAAGATTTATCACTTATCTGCATCATCTAATCTTAACACTGTTTATTAACCATTATGAGGAAGGCTCATATATAGGCCTATATAGTATACTTTCCAATAATATGGAGTAATAGCTCTTTACAGTAATGTTTAACAATAACAAAATTTGCATAATTCCTTACAAAAAAATAAAAAAATCTTAAAAATGCCGTCTTGATGATCTGTTATTTTCATATAATTTCTTAACCAGTTAACATAAATATGCAGCAATAAAATTGTAGTTTAATATATTTTTTTCCAGTGCCTTTTTCAATATCATTGTAATTTGTTTTTTAATTTCACCATTAAAACAATATCAATAACATAACAATAACAACAGTAAGTAAACTAAATTTCAATAGATATTTTGCTTCAAACACAAAGAAATTGAGAAAAGTTTTTCTGTTTTTTTTAACACAAATGCAAAAAATTAGGAAATAGCTGCAGCAGATTGACAATAAAATCACTAGATTAGCTAATCATGTCATGTGTCTGACTAGCTGGTCACATGGTATTACCTGTTGCAATGGTATGTATACATATTCATGAGAAGCTATTTATGGAAATCAACAAACTGATAAATATCACTGTACAAATTAAACAACTTAAATTTGTGATAGTGCTTTATGTTTTTATATGATATGTGATAAAGTATTTTTAATGTTTTTGAAATTGGAAACAGAAACCATTTGTGTGCGACAATCTAAACTTTAATTCAATCGTTAAATCTTTGTTTCGATGAAAGAAATCATAATCCTAATATTTAAATGTTTTTCTTAGGTTTGTGATAAACTCCTTAATCCTTGATGGTTCACCATGATGGTACTAACACCTCCAGGTAACACTAAGTAGACAAAGGAATTTTAATTGTGATTCATCTATGGTATGCATGTTGATGGATCTTTTTGAACAGCTAAATAATTCAGGGTATTATTGTATACTCTCGTTAAACAAAGGAATGTAGAATCAAGACCTATAAATATTTGATTGATATCTTCTTGTAGAGCACTCAACATTGTTTAATTTCATTAGCTAATTTTCTTTTAATTATTATAACATATTCTTTTTCTAGTTCATAATAATTCTTAATATTATTGTACTTATTATTATTATTATTATTATTATTATTGTAATACTATTGTAAATTGTACTTTGTTAATATTTTTTGTGTTTATTCAAGAATATTTTTGATTTTTAGCAAAAAGGCTTAAGTGACTAATATGTTGATGGAGTAAGCAGTAACTTAAAGGAAATTGTACACTCAACTATAAACAGAATCCATGATTTAATAGCCAAATGCCATTTAAGTTTGGAAGTTGTTTTTCTCTTTTTTGGCCTCATAATTTAAAGAGCCTAATTATATAACTAATTATTCAAATAATCACATATTTGAAAATCTGGTGGCCATGACGATAAGCAGCAGCATTTGGCAAATTATGTAAGACTGAATTGCAACAGGATGAACTCTGCAAATTACATCAATCATGGTCATGTGACCTGCTGTGGGTGTGGCTACATGACAATTATGGTCATGTGTTCTGTCATGATGTATTATGGTTCCACCAGAGGGCTTGGCTTTGTGTCGACTGACAGTGCCAAGGTGTTTCTATGACACTGACAATGGGATTGCATTCACAATTATATTTCCTTGTAAAAATGTTTTCTATTTAATAAGGTTTTGGATGATTCATTTATTTATGACTCACAATATCAAATCTAAAAAACTTAATCTTTAAAAAAATCTTCTTATCCTTAATTATTCACAATCATATTTCCATCCTTTAATTTATTGTTAATTTTTAAAACTTGTACTTGACATAGTCATTGCACAGTAACTGCTTTCAGAATATAAGATACTATTATAGTATATCATATCATATAATAAATGTATTAAATATACTGTATAATACCACCAACATACCATAAGTATACAAAATACTAAAATAAATATTTAGTGAAATGTTGTTTCTTTGATATATAGAGACTAAGTATTTTTAAAAACTTACGTATGACAGTTTTAGTTGACTAAATCAACTAAAGACTAAATGAAATTCTTCCAAGTATTACTGTATATATATTTTATTATACTATAATATACTTTTCATTTTCATTACTAGACTCTTTGATATCAGGAAATAATTTGAGTAAATCACAAACCTGATTTTAGTACTTAATACCTGTACAAATATTCTTTTTAATTATTAAAATGCATATCTTCAAATTACCTAAAGGAGATAAAAACCTCAAGTTGACAGAATATGCAACTGGCATAATATTTAATCTGATGAACTTTACCTACTCAAGTTTGACATTTGACCTCTAGGAGTAGGCCTTTACAAATCACAAATTTAATTCACTTCATCAATCAAGTTTTTCAATGGTATGTATTGGAATGTGATACAGTCAGAAGGCAAACCAAATGAAATCTATTTGATATGGGAATCTCTTGAAGAATTTGGAAAACAATTTACAAATTGATTTAACCATATGATATTAATATATATAAGCATAAGTTTTTTTTTATTAACTGTTTATTTTAATTGTTTATTTGATAGCAATAATTTGAAAGTGAATTATGATTTTTTTAATTATCATCCTTACATATTTTTATTTTATCAATGCACTGGGATAAATGTGGAATGTGTTAAGTCTGCCCAATCCATCATCTAAATTGTTTGTGGTTTTAAAAATTCTGACGCAAACAAAAATTTACTATTGCAGTATTACCAGGGAGTTATTACTGAATAAATGAAGGCCTATGCCTACTTCATTAGTACCCTAGGGCAATAATACAAGCCTTGAACAACTTTTACAACTTTTGTTCAACAAGGGCAATCACAAAAGATCTGCTTTCCCAAAACGAACTGCAAAATAACACAATATTATAGTGAATGGTTACATCTCCCTGGTCAGTCATACTGCTTAATTCTATTGTAAAACATTCTCTTTTCCTGTTATATGAATATACTTATTTAAAAATACAAGAACCAGTAAATTCTTGCCCAGGCACAGTGTTCTATTTTTTATTGCCAATTACAGGCTCAAAATATTAATATTTTATTTCAAAGAAAAGTATTATTGTACAGCAATTACTTTATTATATTAGAGGGTATTACGTAGTCACACCAACTCCACTTATGGTACAGATAAGATCTCATTTGACATTTGACCTCAACAGCATCTTGTCTCTTATTTTGTCTTTATTTTTTAAGCAATTTCAACCTCAGTCTATAGGGTGTGGAAAAATATAATAAACAAAATTAACAATGAACATACCTATCACTCTTCTGCTCTTTTCTATTTCTTTAATGTTGAGTCCACTGGAGATCCATAAAGAATTGCTACAATTATCAATATCTGAAGCGTCCTCTGTCTTGGAATGTTGTTGAATGTTACTTATTGCTTTGGTGCCATTAGGCCAAATAATATCATCACACACCCACTGAAGGAGGTCATGTAATTTCAAAACAACCTTGTTGTGATTTGCTACTACTTCATCCTGAATTAGAATTTAAAATTAAAATGAGATAAAAATAATATAACATTTCTGAGAAAAAAAATATTGAGTCATAATCATGTTTATTTTAATACCAGCCTGTATTTATTAAATAAACTTAAAATTTTATCTGGAAAGTGAGAAGGAAAAATAAGGTTTGAAATGGAATTTAATATAAAATAAAAATTATAAAGATAATATTCCTGTTTAAAAGAATATTCAGTCAAATAATATACATTGTGTTATATTAATATCAACTTTTAGTTATTAAATCACAGGCTAAATGTATAAATGAAATACTAATGATTAATGGTAAAAGTCAGAAACAATCATCAAAATTATGATTTATACCCATGTGCATATAATTTAATAAGTTTATATCATGAGCAATACATATTTAAAATTAAAAAAATTAAACAAGTTCTTATTAAACTTTGAAATACTGTTCTATTATTTTTCGAAGGGGTGTTTCTCGTGTGAGAAAGAATAGGCAATTAGTCGGTTTATCCAGGTAAGTATTTACAAAGTAGACTCATTTATTATAATACCATAAAAGATTTTCAGAAATTTTATTACCTATCATGAAACGAAAATGTAGCAGAAACTAGATTATGTCCTAAGCAATAACCAATAATTGAGATGGAATGTTTACATACAGATCATTATCATTATCACTGATATTTTTTATAGAAATTTTACACACAATAGCTCGAAGTAATATTACAGGTCACTGGAGACACTAATAATCACAAACAATGCACAACCTATTCTGCCCCTAATAGAAAATGTTCCTGTAGTCACACAGGAACATTACGGAATCTTATCAGTTCCTTAGGGAGAATTCCTTCAGTCATGCAAGAATACTGGACAACCTCCCTGTCCCTACTAGCACATATTTAACATAAACATTTGCTAGAATGTTTTGCATAAACATATTACAAAAAATTTCATATTCAGTTGAGTGATAAATTAAAATGGAAAAAGTGCATATGCTATTGAATTGAACCATAGCCTTCAAGTTTAAGAGTATGAATTGTAACTATTATATTGTAAAGCTACAGTAAGTCTGTAAAATGTAACCATTGTTGGGTATATATTCATAAAATTGTGTCTGTACCCTCTCAAAAATTGTATAACAGAACGTAATTGTTTTCTTAAAGAATAGCATCTAAATTGTTAATAATAGTAAGTGAAACGTTTTGTTCTCTGCTTTGCTGACGATGGGTTTGTAATCACTTTAAAGAGGCTCTGTGATTTTAGAATTTTGAGCTTTTTCTTGTAAACTGCAATACAAGGCCCAATAAAAAAATTATTAGTTTATCATCCTCACTTGCATGTCATCCGTGGTAATGAAAAAAAAATTTTTTTTTTCCCGTCTTTTGAATTTTTTTAGTAACTAGCTAGTAGGTATTGTTTGCATTATCTCAATTCATATATTTTACTTTGAATATCATTATATCAACAAACAACCCAATGGTGATATTTGGCTTTAGAAAAACAAAAACTTAAAAAGCCTCCCAAATATCAATACACCAGCAAACAACTCATTGGTGATATTTGGCTTTAGAAAAACAAAAATTAAAAAGCCTCGCTCCCTCATCACTTTTCCAGTCTAGATTGAGTGATAAACTAATACTTTTTTTATAATTCTTTACATTTTGTGAATTCAATTTTTCTATATTCTTGAAGAAAAAATATTAACCAACAGAAATACACAAAAACCATAATTATGCACTTAAAAATTAATTGATGACCATAATAAATATTGACATTAAATAATGACCATAATCAATAAATTTATGATCTTTTTTATACAAGTTCAACATTTTCTTAATAAATTAAATGCTAGACAGATTATTGAAAACATATTGAAAACAAAGCTTGATCAATTCAAAACAAGCACCGCAAATCATTTGCCATTATATAAAATTTCCTGGAGACAAGTCAACTTTATGTGAGTCACACTCAAACTGCAAACGAAATCTAAAAACATCCAATATTAACTGTAAAAGATGTATTCTTAAAAATATAAAAAGATAAAGTTATATTCATAAACAGTAAAACCATCATGGACATTAGTTACAGTTTCACAACATGGAAGGCATCTGTGGGACTCATTAAGACACGTATTATCATACAAATACAAGTCACAATACAAAGAGATGTAAACAATAATTATCTTAAATCTAGTTTCAAAATGCAAAAATATGGAATAATAATTTTTAAAAATAAAAAAAGATATAAAGTTATATTCATAAACAATAAAAATATCATGGACACTTTTTATAGTTTCACAACATGCAAGGCATCTGTGAAATTCATTAAGACATGTACTATCGGCAAAACAGGAAAATTAGTATACAAAAATATTGGCACTATATCACTATTATTATTAATAGTAATAATCTTAATAACAATTAATATCAATGATATTTATATAAATAATAGTAATAATAGTTGGATTTGTATAGCGCATCATGCGAAAAAGCCTCTATGCGCTTGGTGATTGAGCTCTTTGAGTTTGACATTTTAAAAAAAGTTTATGTTATTTTACGAAACTAAAAAACCTACTCCTTAAACTAAAGCATGGTTGGCCGTTGGCTCTGAGGAGTTTATCCGCCCTTTGTTCAGGTGTTATTTTTTTCATGCTGCTGGGTGTCCATCCACCCTCCCATCGGCAGCCGCTGAAGACCACCAGATGGGGTTGCCGGAATTAGTCGCCGACGACTTGACTGGATGCAGTTTATAACGTCGTACCCAGGACACTATAATCTTATACTACACTTACATACGTTAAAATAAACTGAAATAATTGGTTAAAAAACAATATCATCATAATATAGTTATAATCTTTATTAATAGAAAATAGTTACAATAATATGATTTTGTAATTATAGTAAGCAACCTGTCTACAGAGGTTGTTAGTATTTATATTTCAATTCATTGTTCATTATTTGGTTTATATAATGTTAATGAATCCACACTACAAACACAATTACTGTACTAGTAATTTTAGCTTCATTGTTCTTATAAAAAAAAAAAGTGTATAAAAAGAAAGTGAACCAAAGAGAGACTAAATCACCAAACAAGACAATTAGTATATAAAAATATATTGGCACTACATCACTATTATTATTATTAACAGTAATTATCTTAATAACAATTAATATTAATGATATTTATATCAACAATATCATCATAATATATAGCTTTATTAATAATAGAAAATAGTTACAATAATATGGTTTTGTAATTATAATAGCAAGTAACCCATAGACACAGGATGTTAGTATATGATTTCAATTCATTGTTCATTCATTGTTGGTTTATATGATTTTAATGCATCCACGTTAAAAACACAATTACTAGCATTGTTGATACGAAGTAAATCATGCGTGACAAAGGGAAGTAAAACTTGCTTTGGTATCTCGATTGCTAAGCATCCACTTGGGATCACACATGGAGAGGAGACTCAAGAATGGAACCATGGGCTTGCCCCACTGTAACTTTATGGATACTGTTCTAAAAATACTGTTTGTATTAAAGATGCATTGCTCCATGCAAAATTACCAACAAAATTATAATTAATAATTATTGAAAACAACTTAAACATCAACAACAAAAAATGTTTATCCATAATTTTACCACGAATAATGATAGATATACTACCAGTCATTGGAAGTGTTTTATTATTATTGTTATTATCATTATCCAGTATAAAAATCAGGGTACACATTTTATAATTCAATATGCTCAAGTTAAGGCGGGACTTTTTTTATTCCTTGTTTCGCGTACTTATTTTTTTTTAAGATCATCGGAGGAGGGTGGAATAAAAATAAAAATTAAAAATTTTGTTGTCTTATTTAGCAAATAGTTTTGCCAAAAACATCCAGGCGGAGGCGAAAATAAAAATAAAATGTTATTGGTGAATATAAATGCTTCAAATTTATATAATTAGGAAGAAATATACATATTTTATCTTTGGAGATTGCAAGGCAGCGGAGGGCGTAATTAAAATTTTTTTTAACTATAATTTTTTTCCTGAAATTTCCATTTTTTGTGGCGGCGGAGTGCGCTAATTGGCCAAAAATAAAATTTTATTTTTATTTGAAATCCTCAATATTTGCATTCGGCTAGTTCTCTGAACAAGGTATAAACAAAGTCTCGCCTGATCACTTGTATGTAATTGCAAAATGAGTAAGTTACTTTCAAAATTATTTTTTATGATATTTTTATCATTTTTAGAGAACAATCTTTAAGCTAATAAATTGAATAAAATTCAATATTTTAAAAAAAAGTTCTTAGCTTCAATTTCCAACAAAAAATATGTTCCTTGCCAATTACCAGAAAAAATAATATCATTCCTATCAAAATTAACTTGAGCTTATTGCTTCAAATCATTATTCAACTCTGTAAACGCTATGATATAGTTTTCTATGAATAGCGTATCTAAATACTAATACTACTACTAATACTAATACTAATTCCTATATTCTTGCATGAAACCTAAATTTGGGGGTAATTAATTACGAATGTTTGGCAACAAAATCAGTGAAACTCAACTGATTCTTCTGAAACAGCAATTCTATATTTTAGTTTGATTATATGATAATTTTTTTATACTATTTATGACATTAAATTTCAATAATAATTTTCGATTCAATTAATTTGATAAAAACAAATTAAAATTTTGCGCACTTGTCATTGCCTGGAGAGTATCTGCCAAAAAGATGCCTTTGAAATTGACCTCTGACCAGTGGTATCTCCGAGCTATTGTGAGGGTAATGAGTACACTTATCAGTCACAGGTATGCAAAGTCACTCAGGTAAAAGAGTTACTGAAGTAAGAAATCCTAAATGCTATTGTACAGTACACCTGTAGCCCTGTTCTGGATTGGTTGAACCAAGACGTTGACCAATATTCAATCAATAGCTATTGTACCCTAATATTCCATTGAAAACTTTGTGGTCACATGTTCACAATTTACCAAGGTTAGTAACAAA